ACAAACACAAACACACATACACACACTGTCTCCTCGTACGCACATGTACGAGCCGTTCCGATTGCGTTGATGGTCCGGTCTCGCGTAAAGGAGATAAATCGACCGTGCCATTCAAAGTCGCAGCAGCCTGGGCCCTCCTCGACACACATCAAGCCATCGAAGTCAGAGGAGAGAGAGAGAGAGAGAGAGAGAGAGAGAGAGAGAGAGAGAGAGAGAGAGAGAGGGAGAGAGTGTGTGTGTGTGTGAGAGAGAGAGAGAGAGAGATCCTCGCTCGCGTCTACACGCGTATCGTTTTCGATGATGTACCCAGAAGAGACCGAATCGCGCGCATACCTTTATTATCGGTAACACAAAGGGCCGGGAAAGGGTCAGGGAGGTAGGGGGAGGGGGGAGGAGGGGGAGGGAGAGCACCGCGGCGCGCCGCGCCGCTGCGAAGTCGGTCTTCTGATGGCACTGGTATGACGAGGTAAATTATTTATTCAGCGGCGACCGCGCACCGGTGAATAATGGATCCTCCTTCGGCGCGAACGGCACCGAGAGGCGCGTTATTGATCACCGAAATATCAAGAGTAGGCGTATCCATCACCCATGGTCCATCGGCCGCCGATGGACTCGTGTCGAAACGTTACATACGTTGCGCTCTCGCGAGTTTAACCGCGAGAGATAGCGACCGACGCGCGCGTGAGAGAGAGAGAGAGAGAGAGAGAGTGTGTAGGTATGCGTGTGCGTGTGCAGAGAAGGGGTGGGCGAGCGGGTGCGAGAATGCATAGCGCGCATACGCACGTACACATGTACGCGCACCGACAATATAATCGATTTTTCACGCGGCGCATTTATCATGCGGCCGCGATAATGGCCGCGCACGGAGAGATACGGGATAAATATTTCGAAGTAAATAATCGTTAGCTCTATGGTATCGGAGTGTCGAGGGGGCATTAATAACGCCGGTGCCTGTTTTACGTCCACTCGCTGCGGCGGTCCGCGAGGATCACTCTCTCCGCTCCCTCCCCGCTGCCCCTCTCTCTCTCTCTCTCTCTCTCTCTCTCTTTCTCTCTTGTGTCATTCGGCCGCTCATGTCAGCGAGAGAGAGAGAGAGAGAGAGAGAGAGAGAGAGAGAGAGAGAGAGAGAGAGAGAGAGACGCGGCTTCGATCGCTCGACGAGGAGCTCTCGTGCGCGCCGCGCGTTGATTTGCAAAATCGCGACTCGACGGACAATGGGGCAGGAATGACGGCGCGGCGGGAACTCGACGAGTACGCACTCGAGGTTTCCGGCCGCGAGTAGGAAGTCCGCGCTTGCTCCTCGAGAATCAGCGGGATACTAATTGCGCCGCGTTCATGAGGCAAATGAAGACCTGACACTCGTAAAGAGGCCGCGCGTGAATACCGCGTCTTCTCCAAATCATCGCGCACTCGAGATTAATTGTCGCCGTTGCTGTCGCCGTCGCCGTCGCCGTCGCCGTCGCCGTCGCCGTCGCCGTCGTCGTCGCCGTCGTCGGGACAACGCGCGCTGATCGCGCACCGTCGAGTCGGCGGGCCGCTATTTAGACCGTTCCCGAGGCCGTCGACGGCTAGGAGACACCAGCTCGCGAGGTGACTATCCAAATACGAGCTCGTTAAACCGCCGCGATCCGTGACGGGATCGATAAGTGGAGTTGCAACGGAGTAAGATTAATTATTGCCTGAAAATTGTCTTCGTGCCGATGCCTGTCGACGCGATCATTCGGAACACCATTCCATTCGTGCCACTCGAACGTTCGAGCGAAAAAAAGAGAGAGGGAGGGGCGAGGGGGAGGGGGAGGGGAGCAGAGAGAAAGAGAGAAGAGGGAGGAGGAAAGGGAGAAGAAAGAAAGAAAGATAAGCGGCCCCGCGTACCCGCAACGATGTCCGTGACAAATCTGCGGCGATTAATCTCAGTTGAATACCTTTCCGTGTGTAGTACGAGTACGCCGAGCACGAGTCGGCTCTCGGTCGCGTCGGTCGCGTTTATTGCCGGCCCAGTAGACAGTGACCGTTTACAAGGTGTAACTATGTGGCCAGGTGGTCGATCGTCGAAACCCCCGACGAACGAAAATCTTCCGCCAGGAATGACCCCCAGCTGGGAATTCCCCGGGCTTCTTATTTTTATTTCTCACCTCCTACGGCGTTACCTCTTCATCCTCGCTCGCGCGAGCGAGCGAGCTCCAGCGGCCGAAACGAGCTTCGTGCCTCCGGTCTATATGGGGGCCCGCGGCTCGCCCCGATAATTACGTGATCAATACATTAAGTGCCCCACGGGCCGATTATGTAAATAAACAGACGCGCGTAGCTAATTGAGTTACGCGCGTGCGCGCAGGGGGTGCCTGGACGGAACAATTAGGCGAGGGCAACGGTAATTTCTGAAAGAGGGGCACACGTTCCGCGACGTGTGTATTGGACATCGCGAAGCGAACGACTGCCGGAAGAAGAGGAGGATTCTTGAACGTTAATGCTCTTGCACCACGACGAACGACGATATCGACGCGTTATTAATCGCGCGCGAGAGTCTTGAGCGCGAGAGCGCTGAGCTTTTAGTCTCGCTTGTGCTTCTACTTCACACCGCAAATTCGAGCGTGCTTTTTCACACGTTACTTCTACTTCGACCGTAGATAATTTGAGCATTCTAATCGGAAATTGCACCGCTTCTGGGAAAATCTTGAGAAATTTTTATGCAGGTTCTCAGATCAGCAGATCTAACGTGAGATCTACTCGAAAGTATTAAACACTTAATTCAGTAATTTATTTGTACTTTACTTATTGATCATGTACTGTGTTTAAAGTATAATATATACAGTCGGTATATGTATTTTCATTGAAACGCTGCGCTTGGAATTGCTGATTCTCTCAGACATGGTACGCAATCAGGAAAATCCCGCTGGAAAAAGATCAGTCAGTAATAACACGGCCGTCCTCATTACTGATGCAGGTTACAAAATGCAGATGTAAAATTATGTATCGCCGCATGTAAAGCATATGAAAAGCGTGAGTTCAATCGCGGAAAGCTGAACTTGATATACAACGTGTGCGGTGAATTTGTATCCAACAAGTTCCACAATGAAATCTTACGTCTACGTCCGGTTAAAAGTCAGTGGTCAGCGTACAAAACGGCGGAGTAAAGCGCGAGTG